TGAGCCTGCAAACAAGGCATATGCCCTCAACTGGAATTGAACCTGCGACCCTTCAGTCCGTAGGCTGATGCTCCATTCACTGTGCCAAACCGGCTAGGGCACTAATCTTTTTTAAAAAATATATATTTTAATTGATTTCAGAGAGGAAGGGAGAGATGGAAACATCAAGGATGAGAGAGAATCGTCGATCGGCTGCCTCCTGCCTTTTTAAGGTGTGAAATATTTACTGGAGAGAGGACGCTGAATAATAAGTGTCCACATTTGCAGCTGCTGTCGGGGTCCCTGAACGAGGGACTCTAACTCTGCCAGGCCTGACTCACTGACCTCAGGGGCCTGAGAGTCCAGTTACTCAGCTGAGCCTTTGGATGAGCTATGAAGATGCATGTTCCTTCCAAGAACTGACCCTGTGCCTGCCTTGGGGCCTTAATCAAGCGCCTGACCTGATTGGCAGCCACCAGGGAGCTCCAGCTAATAGCCTAAGAGGCTGTTCCATTCCCACTGGGAGGTGGCATCCCAGGCAGGTGCTGGGAGGGAGGCTGGGGCAGCCTGCAGATGCCCGTGGGCCTCGCTGTCTTACTCAGAGCCTGCTCTGTGACGGCACCACACTCCCCGGGGAAAAGGATGCAGCCTTCTTCAAACACGGTGCCTGGGGTGGAAAGTGCTGGAGACTAGCTGACAGAGGAAGGAAACTTCTGCTCTGGAAGCCGGTGGGAGTTCGGCTCTGGAGGGAATAGTGTGTCCCTTCACCGAGGGCTGGGATCGAACCCTTCCCGCCTTCAGAGACGGTTAACCAAGTGCAAGACTTGGGACATTTTCTCGCGCGCAGGTGGTAACACTTGAACTTAAAAACAAACTTTATAGAGGGGGGAAGGGGCGCTGGACGCTAGGGCCACCGAGGTAACTCATTAGCCCTCGCCACTTGGGGTCCGTGGTTAGAGTGTGGGCCTGTGGACTGAAGGGTCCCGGGTTCAATTCCGGTCAAGGGCATGTGCCCGGGTTGCGGGCTGGATCCCCAGTGAGGGGTGTGCAGGAGGCAGCCGATCCATGATTCTCATCATGGATGTTTGTATCTCTCTTTTCCTCTCCCTTCCTTTCTGAAATCAATAAAAATACATGTTTTTTAAAAGGTAACTTATTAGTCAACTTAAGGCGTGTAAAAAAAAGCACGCTTCTGCATTCTGGGTGCCCTTTATGTAGAATCATCTTTCCTACTACGTCATCTTTCCATGCCCTTCCCATCTCCAACACCCAGCTCAGAGCACTTGGAGTTCATTGAAGTGTTTGTCCAATGACAGATGAGGGAACGAGGGAATGAATGAATGAATGAATGAGATCATCCCTGCATGAATGAATGCATGCATGCATGAATAAATGAGGTCGGTCCCGTGTGAATGAATGAATGAATGAGGTCGGTCCCGAGTGAATGAATGAATGCATGCATGCATGCATGAATAAATGAGGTCGGTCCCGCGTGAATGAATGAATGAATGAATGAGGTCAGTCCGCTTGACCCTCTGGCCAGCCCTTGCCAGTTCTCCAGGAGAGAGGCCACGCCCCCCG